AATAGGGATTAGATCGCGACTTACCGAACTCTAGACTAACTCGGCTAGAGCGGCAAGGGGAACGGCTGGCCGGCGGCGATCGGCGGTGGCAGCTTGCTCCGGCGATGCTCCGGCGATGCTCCGGCGATGATCGGCGGTCCAAGGCCGAGAGAGAGATGAGAGGATTTTTGGTGAGGGAGAGAGAGAGAGAGTTCTCTGTTGGGGGGGCTGCCGAGAGAAGAGAGAGGAATGAGGAGAGAGAGAGAGGAGAGAAACAATTAAATATTTGGTCCAAGGTTTGACCAATTTTTTCTTAATTCCAATTTTTTAAAACACTTGGTCCACATTCTTCCAAACCAAAATATCTAAGAGGCGTTTTTGTCCAATATTTTGGGGCTGATATTTATCACACTTAATCCCACAAATTGATTTCCAAAATTCCCAAAATTCGAATACCCAAAATAGGCCTAGGGGCAAAATCGTAATTTTCCGGTCCGGAGGCGAAATTCCAATTTTTCGCACATACGTGTTACATATGTGCGTAGCCAACATAATATGGTGTCGGAATCGCGAAATTCACTTTCTAAGTCCTCGAAAATCATTGCGAAGTTCCGGGAATAAAATAATATTATTTTTCACTTAGAGCCAAAATTCCAATTTTGACCGAAACAACTCTAAATGCACGTGGCCACCCCAAAATGACACTAGCCTCGAAAAATAACCTCAAACGACCTCAGAATCGCCAGTCGGTGACCGGAGGGGCAAAATCGTAATTTTTCCGTGCCCGGACCGAAATCCATTTTTTTGCAGAAATGGATGGCCCCACGAGGTTAGCTGCCAAAAACGTCATCGGCCATCCAAAATTGTCACTTTCAAAATTCTCGATTCTCGGGCGAATTCCAAGAAATGACTAAAATCGAGCAATCGTAACTTTAGCTTATCTCTGGCTAACGGGTGGCTCTCTACTGAATTCACGCGCTCTCCGACCCGTGACCGACACTAAGTCAAATCACGTTTAAGTTTACTCCACCCGGACGACCTCGGTTGTCATATAATTGCGAGGCTGTCGCTATGGTTCCTTCTGGACACGATCAATCAAGTAGACCGGTCTCGGTTGGCTCAAAACATTCCCTCGTCAATCCATATGGTCGAAGATCGAACCTGTGCGGGAGTTCTTTGGTCGTGCGAACTCAATCCCGTAACGGCCCTACCCCTAAGGTTAGCATCCCGTGAATGTGCATTTCCGGGTGAGACCTCACTATAGTGCATTGGTCAAATTCATTTCTTAAATCCCGGGAAAAGGATCGAAAATTCAGTTACACCAACCCACTTGGTCCTAGAATCAGACCGGCAGAATTAGACCGGACTGGACCAATTGGTCTGATCTAGTTCCAAGGTCGTTCTCGGATTCGATGATTTTTTCTTTTATTTTTTTGGTTTCTTCTATTCCCTACAAGTGGGAGTACTTCAACATTAAAAGAAAAAAAATTTACTAATGAAGGTTTACTTTAGCGTAAAAAATCAAAAAATTTAATAAATCGTGGCCGGTCCGCGGTCTGGTTCCTTATGTGGACCAGAAACTGGACCGGTTATTCCCGATTCCAAACATTTGGAACCAGGAACTGAATTGGTCCCCCAAGGCAACTAGTCGGTTCGGTTTGGTCTAGTCTGATTCCCAAATTGGATCGGGACTGGTGCACACCCCTAGTGATAGTAATGATGTCACGTTACAATATGAAGAAGAGTTTTGACATGAGAGGTGTGGCGCTAATTACTAGTAATGATCAGATCCGGTCCAATTCCCAAAATATTAAAAATTTGTAAAATTAGTCTACATCAGCATCGGTCATGCCACGTAGGATGACCGGCGTCCATATCAGTGATTTCCGATCAAAATTGACCGGATGGACTATATTGGCAAATCGTTAAAATATTTAAGACTGAATTGGCATATGTGCAATATATTTAGGACTTTTTTGGTACTTTTCCCTCATATGTTATTAAACAAATATGTAATTTCGTAGAGTGATATCCACTTCGAACTATATCTGGGTGGTAGGTTTGATTTGTTTTGCATAGCACAAATTTAATATATTTCATGGCTTCTCGCTAACATCTTTTCGTGTGTAAAGAGTTTTCGATGTGAAAACACGTAGTCACAAATGAAGACTAAGCAGCCACTGATCGTTCCGATGTTCCTCTGTGTATTCTCATTCCATCTATTAAGCACTCAAGGGGCTTGGGGAACTAGCTTCGCTAGTATTGCCTTCACCATAATGGGTAATTCTTATATCCGTGAGTAAGGGCTGATATTCGAATAGAAAAAAAAGAGTGGATTTGTAGGTCCAGATAAGTTGGCTTATCCTAAAAGAAAAATATTCGGCAAAAGAACACTACAAGTGCCATAACTTGTGTACGGCGCTCACTTTAGTGCCATAACTTTTTTTTGGATCACTTTAGTACTAAAATTTTTGAAAAACGATCACTTAAGTACCAACTCCGATGCCGTACACAATTTTTCGCCGGAAATCTGACGTGGCATTTTTTTATTAATTTCTGGGGCGACGTGGCTCACTGGAGTCTCGCCGGAGATTAGCGCTTAAGTGATCGTTTTTCAAAAATTTTAACACTTAAATGATCGCTTTCAAAAATTTTAGCACTTAAGTGATTGTTTTCAAAAATTTTAAGCTTGAAGTGATCCAAAAAAAGTTATGACACTTAAGTGAACGTTTTCCTCCGACTTGGTACTAAAGTGATCCGAAAAAGTTATGACACTAAAGTGAGCGTCGTACACAAGTTATGGCACTTATAGTGTCCTTTTGCCGAAAAATATTATATGTACTAAGAAATCTTACTGAAAATTCACTCACTAAATGATGTGGAAAGTTTCAATATCCAATAGAGAACTGAACGGTTTTAACATTGTGAGTTCGGTGCACCTGATAATTGTATCTGTATTATTGCCAAAAGTTGTTTACTGAAAGGGTTAATATCACCAAAAACCCCAAATTAGTACATCTGTGACAAATTTATCTTAAACTAATTTTTTGACCACGAAAAACTCAAACCGGTATACCTGTGACAAATTTACCCCAAACTAATTTTTTGATCATAAAAAACCCCAAACTTGTACACATGTAATAAATTTACCCAAACTAATTTTTTGACCACCAAAAACCAAAAACTAGTAATCTTGTGACAAATTTACCCTCTTTTAGCAGATCAATTTGGGATTTTTCGTTGAGTATTTACGCTATAGATTTCCATGTGGACTTGCCACGTCACCATACCACGTCAGCAAATTTAATCGATAAAATTTGATGGGAAACTAATAGAGGGTAAATTTGTCACAAGTGTACCGGTTTGGAGTTTTTGGTGATAAAAAAAATTAGTTTTGGGTAAATTTGTCACATGTGTATCGCAATTTAGGGTTTTTTACAGTCAAAAATTAATTTTGGGTAAACTTGCGTCAATAAATGTACCTGGTATGGGGTTTTTCATGGTAAAAAATTAGTTTTGGGTAAATTTACATCACGCGATATCGAGTTGGAATTTTTCGCCATTAAACCTGCATCGAAATGATGGGTAATTCTTAGATCCGTGAGTAAGGGCTGATATTCGAATAGAAAAAGAGTGGACTTGCAGGTCCTCGATAAGTTGGCTTATCCAAAAGAAATATATTAAATGTTCTAAGAAATCTTACTGAATTACTCACTAAATGATGTGGAAAGTTTTAATATCCAATAGAGAATTGAACGGTTTTAACATTGTGAGTTCAGTGCACCTGACAATTGTACCTGTATTCATGCGGCAAGATAAAATTTCCTATCATTGGTACAATGATGAGCATGTCACAATTTCACGAAAGCAGATACGTGACGTGCATAATAAAACAATATGAAAAGGAATAGTCATACTTCCTATGATTAAAAACGGAAGTTATCGGAATGAAATAATAGAATATTGAAATAACAAGACAAGATGTTTGTCGTATTTTTTCATATGCAGCTTCAACGTTTCGAATTTGAATTAAAATAAAGGAGATAAGAGAGAAAAGCTTTTTTGTCAATCGTTAATAGAAAAAGTAAAAATGACATTGGATTATAAGATAGGGGCAAGCTATTAGCATGATCAAATAAGGAATTTCTCAAAGGTTTGATTGAGAAAATCGAATAGAGCTAAATTAGAAGAACATGCTAGGAGATAGAAATGAGAGCCAGAGGGATAACTTGTCTGGTAGTAATTGATAATGAAAACTTATAATTATAATTAAGGGATATTCCAAATTAATCTAAATGAATGCAATATAAACTGAAATAGTAAAAAAATTGAGTACAACTTAGTATATGCTAGAAAAGCGAGGGTATGTCACGTGACAATATGAAGGGAGAGTATTGAATCGAGAGTTGTGGCCCTAATTACTAGTAATGATCAAATTAAATAACTTGAACTGAGAAAGAATATCTACGAATTTTTTTATATGAAAGGTTAAACTTAGAATTAGAATTTCAGGAGATGGAAGCAAATAAACTTATATAAGGAGATATATTCTATTCGGAGTTAAAAACAAAGGTCACAAAGTGGATTGTTCATTCCAGTCATCAATATCTCATTAACCCATCATTAAGAAAACAATATTGGCTGAGCACATGTATCATTCCTTACGAAAGATAGGCATGCAAACTGGAAGCACAAAATCTTCAACACTTAGTTTCGAGCTTCTAGCGTTCTATGCTAGCAAGAGATGTCTTCCGAGACTTGGAAATCAATATTCTTATCTGCTGAAGATATGCACGGTCCCTCTCATCCATTCGGTCCGTAGTGCAGAATGTAAAAAAAACGTGGAAGATTCACCTCAAAATTGGCTATTTTCTAATATATAATCAGGGGAGTTTTTCTCGTGCTAGATAATGCACAAAAGCAACTCTATCACGTAACTTATCATGGCAATTGAAAAAAAAAGAGAAACCCTCGACACGTAATCTGATCGTGCATGGCACAGTGAAAAGGTAGAGTCTATAAATTGCATGGAAGCAAGATGGCATCTCCACAAGCCTTCCCATCTAGAGAACGAATATTATCAGCGATAATTTAGAGAGAGAGAGAGAGAGAGAGAGAGAGAGAGAGAGAGAGAGAAATACATACCATGGGAGGCAACAGCTCAAGGCCATGGACTGAGCTCAGCGGCGAGACCAACTGGAAGGACATGTTGGATCCTCTCGACGAGGATCTCCGGATGTACCTCATACACTACGGAGAACGAGTCCAAGCCATCTACGATGCGTACAACGGCCAGACGGAGTCGGACGGCTACGGCCTGCCCCTGTTCCCGATGGACCAGCTCTTCCATGAAGTGGGTCTCGAGACAGCCAACAACCCGTTCAGGTACGAGGTGACCCAGTACTTCTATGTGCCAATGCACGAGACCTTTCTGTTGCAGCCGGACAGGTCTTGGATCGGGTATGTCGCAGTGAGCACCGAAGATGGGAGCAAGACTTTAGGGAGAAGGGACATTTTGGTCGCTTGGAGAGGAACGGCGGATCTCCTGGAGGCCATGTACGATCTTGGAGATGATTTGGTCCCGGCGACCGACATTTTCAAGGATGACAACGATACTAAGATTCACTCTGGCTTTTACGGTTTATATAGGAAGAATGATATTTTAAATCCGTACACAAAGCATAGTGCTAGAGACCAGGTATAAAACTTTCACTCGATTTAAAGATTGCTCTTGCTAATTTACCTCTGAATAAGCTCCAAATTGCCTTCACTTTTTTTTATTATATAAATCTAAAAATATGATAAGATGCAGCACGTGAAGTTTCGACTACTTTGTCAAATTAATACTGGTATTGATGTACTACTTTGGTCAGGTTCTAAGGGAGGTCCGGAAGCAAGTGGATCTCTATGCCAGTCAAGATGAGACAATCAGCATAACAGTGGTCGGCCACAGCCTGGGCGCGGCTTTGGCAACGATCAACGCGCTGGACATCGTGACCAACGGCTACAACGTGCCCACCGACCACCCCGAGAAAGCCTGTCTGGTGACTGCATTCCCCTTCGCCAGCCCCAAGGTCGGGGATGAGAACTTCCAAAAGAAGTTCTCGTCGTCCGAGAAGCTCCGTGCCCTTCGCGTGACCAACGCCATTGATATCGTTCCCTTCCTCCCTCCAATCAGATATTACCACGTCGGTGAACAGCTGATGGTCGACTCGCGCAAGTCCCCGTACCTGAGGCCTCTCATAAGCGGTATGACCGGTGCCGTGGCAACCGGGCATCTATTGGAGACATGCCTGCATTTAGTCGCGGGGACACAAGGGATCGATAGCAAGGACTTCGACCTCGGTGGCCGACGTGGGATTGCGCTGGTGAACAAGGGATGGGATGGTCTGAATGGTATCTACAAAATTCCGGCGTATTGGTTGGTGGCCAAGAACAAGAACATGATCCAGAATGGGAACGATGGAAGCTGGAGCTTGGCCGATGCGTACATCCCACCTCCACCAGAAGATGATCAGAACGAGTAGTCCCAAGTCTCAACATATAAATATAATTGTGTGATCAGCTATTACCAATAAGTTTGCTGCTTTATGACTTAGCAGTACAATAATAAAGGTTCCTGGTGCAAAAGTGGAGTGGTTTGATTGAGTCGTGCTAGTGATACTAAGTCATGCGTCTGTTCTTGTGTTTAATTTAATGTCGTGAAATAAATATGGTCTTGAAAGAATAATAGAGATTGCTTCAGTTTTATGTGCTTTCTTACGGTGGTTTTATTCTATGTTGAAAGATATCATTGAGTTCGCAACTAAAAATAATTGAGGGATAATTGTCCAAAAAGTCTCAAACCTCTTGTATGGCGGCCGATACAGTCCTAAATATTTCAATTGTGCTAATTTAGTCCTAAACCTATTGTACGACAGACAATTTAGTCCCAAACATTTTAACTGTGCTAATTTAATCTTAAACCTTTTAACGCTTTGCCAATCTAGTCCTTCTGGATAATTTTGGTTAGAAATTGCCGAAGGACTACATTGGCAACCCTTAAAAGTTTTAGGAATAAATTAGCAAATCATGAAACTGTTTAAGACTGAATTGACCGTCGTACAATAGATTTATGACTAAATTGTCATAATCAAAATGCTTAGGATTGAATTGGCCGCCGTACAATAGGTTTATGATTTTTTGGACAATTTTCCCACATAAATGACATCAATTAAAGGTCACAATCTTTAAATCCTTTCAATTAAGCCCGCATGCTATTCTTCAAGAGTCCGATTGATTGCCCGCTATGCGTAAATAAAGTGGAAGCTAATGCATCCGATTTTCTTGAGTGCAAACAAAAAGTTGTTCTTGTTTTTTCCATAAAATTTCAAAATATCATTCAAATTTCCAAAAATCATGAAAAATTTATGTGTGAACTTACGTGTCCACGTTCGCTTTTCGTGAAAGTTTAAAATGTTGCAGATTTAGAAAAATCAAATTGCTTGTGCCATAGTACTTGAATTAAATAAAATTTAAAAAGTAAAAGTTAATCCAAACAGTTTTTAAATTTTTCTAAGTAATCACGACCCTCTCTCACTAAATTTCTTTGGTTGTCTGTGACTTGATAACAACTAAGTTGATATGTCCAATGTAAATCAATTTTGTTTTTGCGTTCTTAATTTGCTTGATCACCTTAAATTTGCCTAACACAAAGGAACCTACTTATCATGCATTTTTATGATGGTTTAACCGTAAGGCAATTCGCATTTGTGACGGACGGATTAGGTATAAATAATCAAGAAGGAGGTGGATTGGTTGTTCGATGAAACTTTGCTTTTCTGCGAATAAGTAAGGAGTTGTGCTTTGGTACTATATCTTCTATATATGTTTGTCAACATATCAAAGATTGCATTGTGGATTCCAGCCTAATTTCGCAGCCTAATTTCCGCTGTTAGAGCTCGAAAAGTGAAGTAGGATGAGAGGACAAAGTTGAATCCCTATACATTAAATTCTTGATTCTCCTTATACGACTTCCACTCATAGCTTCTACATCTATCGACACAAGCAAGTTTCACTATTGTGACATTCTGAAATTCGACTCATTTTCAGAATTTATGAAATGATTATATCTTCGATGCACTTTAGTTAAATCTCATTCAGAATTGATCACTCTTGAGAAGACTAACCATTAGGGAAAAGCTAGCTAGGAATCAAGTACGTGGACCTAAGAACTTAGCAATGGATCGATACTTCAACCGTAAGGATTGACAATGAGATATTTTGGGCCATTATAGACCGATCCAAGGATGGCTATGAAACGATTCGTAAATGTTATACAATTGGACCGCGGGTGATTTCGCTTGACCATTGTATGAATTTCGAATGATCCTTAATCTAACTCGAACGATCGTGTCAATTGGAACTAGTGATTGATCATCGCAATTACATGACAACCGTGGTCGCCATGGCTCGAGCAATCTTAGATGTGGCTCGATATCGAATCGGCCACGAGTCGATACACGTAACTCTTAAAAGCCGCCCGTTAGTTTGAGATACACTAAAGTCGCGATTGATTGGTTTAACCCATGAATTAGAATCCGGAATGGGATGTCGAACTTTCAAGATTTCACGAAAATTTATCGGACGTCGCCTCGTAATTTTACGAGTTTTCCGTAGAAAATTTCAATTTCGGAAAAGGATCGAAGAATCGGAAATTCGACGCGAAAAACGGAAGTGAACCAAGCAAAGCCCGTTGGGCCTTGCGCTCGAGGGGGCCGGCCATTAAGGCCCATTAAGGTTAAGTCGGTCCATAATTCGGTACTCGGGCCGAGGATAAAATGGTAATTTGGGGGAACAAAATTTAAGAAAAATTACAAAAAGGAAATTGGAAGATTTTTTTGGGGATAATGATGAAACTCACCCTTCTCTTCTCTCTCTCCTCTCTCTCTCTTCCTCTCCTCCCCCGGCTGACTTCCCATGCCGTTGACTCCCCCATTTCCCTGTTGACACCACAAACTCCCCACTGGCCCTCATGATTGACTTTCTTCTCTTCTTCTACTTCTTCTTTTCTTCTTTTCTTTGCCACTTCTGTTTCTGCTTCGTGCTTTTGCTTCTGCTTCGCTGCTGCTGCTTCTTCTTCGCTTCTGCTTCTTGTTATGCTTCTCATTTCCAGCCAGCGACCAGCCTTTTCCTCGCCGGACCAGCCACCACCAAAGCCAACACCATCCCTTACCGTGACCACCAGCTTATGCTTGCCTCAGCCGTGGACCGCCGTGACTGGAGTCGCCACCGTCCTTCCCGTCCGGCCGTCGGAACAGCAGCTGTTGGACTTAGTTTTGCTGACTGGTTCTTGCTTGTCTTAACCTTAGGCTCCTAGTAAGTGCTCCCTAAGCCTTGATTAGGATAATGGGTTATCAATGGCATGTTTAGGGGCTGATTAGGGTTGGATTAGGGTTGGTTTGATGGCTGGTTGTGCTTGATTGATGATTTGTGGTTGTTGAGATATTTCTCGGATTTGCTTGCTGAGGTGCCCTATTGTTTTGTTATTTTTGTTTTGTTATTTTTGTGGAGATCAATGTAGACCGAATTTGAGGAAGTGTTCTTTATGGAAGTTGACCCTAACATTTTGAAGTATGTCATATATTAAATCTGAAATTTTTGGAGACCGTTTCGGGATATTCGTAAGTCCAATTTTGGACCGTCATCACTCTACTGGAGTTACTGTTCACCAGACCGGCGTGTTTTTTTGAATTTTTATAAAAAAATTTCAGATCTCTTTTCAACAAAATTCCTTCATGAAAGTTTGTCTATGACATATAAAAATTTCAAGGTTTTCCAAGGAGATTTGGGTACTGATTGAAAGGGATTTCTAAGGCCGAACGGTCTGCCCTGGTAGGCTAATTTTTTATCATACTTTGGGTGACAAAAAGAGTTGTTTGAAGCCAAAATTGGATTTCGTGTCCTTGATGAGAAATGTTTATCAAGATGTTTCCAATGACATATCCAAAATTCAGAATTTTTGGAGTTAAATTACTATTTATTTCAAAAGAGTTTCGATTACTGCGCAATTACCAATTTTAAGCCCGATTCTGTGCAAATTTGGTTTCTCTCTCGAGAAACTTTTCGATGTGGTTGTTGCACATGAGGGGCGTGGCTGGTTGTGAGCTGATCATGAATTGAATGGAAATTGGCTAATCGAATGAGGCGAAATGGGTTTGAGTGTTTGAATGCTCGTATGATCACATAATACCTTGATGCGTGTTACGCGAGGTTAAGATGAGAATTGGTTGAGTGATTGAATGCCCGTATGATCACATGATATCTTGAGGCGTGTTACGGGGGGTTATAACCCGTCTTGATGCATTTTACGCGAGACGATGCTCGATTTATCGGATGTCCGGTGGAGGCCCGGTTGCCAATTGCAGTGGAGGCCAGATTGATGCTCCTCATGGAATGCCGTCTTGATGCATATGACGCAGGACGATGCCGTCACCGACGTAGCGGGACGATGTCCGGTTACGCCGAAAGCCCGACAACTTGATGTGTTTTACGCGGGTTCGGAGGAGCCCGACAACCTGATGCGTTTTTACGCTGATTCTGTCGTTAATAATCTGGACTTCGTGAGTGTGATCCGCATTATGGAATGCCATGTTTGAGATAACGTTGGGCATGTCTGGATTATTAAGTGTGCTATGCATGTGCTTGCCTCGATTCTGGCTGTTATATTTCGATGAATGGTTGCCATAATGTGGCGGTTTGCTAACGTGCAGGGCATGTGCATGTATCAAGGCGAGGTAAGGATGCCTGTGTTTGATGTGGCATGTTGATTGATTGAATTAACTGCCTAGAACTATCTTGTGGTACGCGTTAGCCTAAGCGAGGCTTAGATAGTGACTTATTAAGATTTATTTTCATTGTTGAATTACAAACATTTCAGAATCCCGAGCCTTAAGATGATATGCAAGATCCGGGGACGTCGCTAGGGTGCCGCGATGACTGATGATAGGTCTGGTCCCCCGTTTTTTGAGGAGCCCTCTTTTGTCTAGAGGAGTTAGGCTAACCGACCACTTGACCCTTTTGGTTACACGTGGTCCTTAGTTAGTTGCCTCGTAGAAGGCTTGCAAGTGTATATGTTGTTACTGATGCTTTGTCTCTTTACTATCCCGTTTAATTGATGTTGTATGGAGATTTCGATTTGCTTCCGCGTGTGATGCTCTTTAATTCGTACGTTTGGGTTGCCGACAAATCCTGGGATGTCGCATTCTTAACAACCGTGGCGGGATGACGCATGCTCGTGGGGATCGGGGAGTGACAACTATACTTGTCACTCTTCTCTCATATTACGGACACTGACCTTCACAAATAGTTGAAAAAAACATTGATGGAAAGACTCAAATTGTCAGCAAGATATAGTATAAAGATTGAAATTGTAACCAAACGAAGCATAAAAATAGAAAGTTATCGCCCCCAATGCTAGAAAGATAAAAAAAATGTATTTTCCCAAAAAAATTGTATTTATGCAAAAACAAATGAATCTGCCATCCACACATATATACCGCACCATTTCGCCGTGCGAAATTACTTTCCCATAAGAAAACTACGAAATTTCCCAAAGTTAAATCCAATAAATCACTCAGAATTCAAAGACGAGCAAAAATGACAATGGGCGATAGTCATGGAGGAAAAGATAAATTTGGCTTCTTCTTCTTCTTCTTCCTTTTTTTTTTTCTTTTTTCGCATGTATAGGTGTCACGTTGTTTTGATGATAGAAAGAAA